TTTTCAGAAACTTATGTGAGTTATGTCTACCAATATCTCATGTCTCGAAACTTTCGCCCTAAATATTATTAAAAATTCGTCTCCTGAAAAAATTATAGATGATGGTGATACCCCCGAACTGGATGCATGCTCGTTATGTAATCATGAGCTTTTTTTGTTCGAAATAAAAAACCCGATTACCATACTCGTCTGTGGACATATATACCACCGTGACTGCATCGAAAATTATATCAAGAAACGTTCAATATGCCCAAAGCCCGATTGCAAGAAAGAAGTGGAGTCTACGATTAATAGCATGCCCGGAAGTCAGAATACCAACGATTTGATGGATATATCTCCGTCATTATTTACTGACCCCCTCTTCCAAAGTCCGTCTAAAAAGCGTGCCAGTGAATCCGTATCGGTAAGAGAAACCACGACTAAAAAGATTAAGAAGGCCGATGGAAGGAAGGACAAAGATTATCCCATGTTGAAAAAGCTTATTGAGGAACTGAAATCGTCTAATTCTTCAAGTAGTACCGCATCTCAAACCGAGTATATAACGAGACCAGGTAATTTTACTGATTTATACGATGCAATTATTAAGGCCGAGGAGCGAATTGGAAGTACAAATCAAGAAGTTATTAGAGCATATTTTTTGTTTGGAAAGAAGCTTGAAGAGAAGTTGGCAGAATATATAAAAACTAATAAAGAGCGTAAAGCTCAGAGATTGCTTACCAAAGAAGTGTCAGCGCAACTACCATCTGATCTATCGAAGAATGCAGTAGAAAAAAGAATAGAAAGGGCGAGAAAAATTTATGATCTGTTTACTACGATTGGTGAGGATAAAATAGAAAGGGTTAAGTCGTATTCAGCATTGCGAATCTCCAAGTTAAGCTGGGACGAGATTGATGCTATAGTAGAGAAATTCGAATCCTAGTTACTGCGCCAAGAGCACGTGATTTTCACTGACCGACTCGGTCAACGAAAGCATCCACCCGATATTTTTTATTATTTTTCCGACAATTCCTAAATATTATCATGTAACGTATCTGTGAAATATAATAATAGCAATAAAATAAAGTTCACCCAAATCTTGGGACTTATGTCATAATGAATTACATATAAAAAACTAACTCTTTATTGATATGATAAATATGTGATAATAATATATATATCACATAACTGATATAGAAAAATAAAATAAATGCATGACCTTAAGCTGAAATATATGTACTACTGAGCAAATTATAATATCTACGATTAATTTTTTTTCTCGAACGCTCAGGTTCACTATTTTAGATAATGCCTACACCCATTTATATTAGAAAAAGATAACGTAATACATATACATAAGAATAGCTTATAATTACTCTAATAACTCTTGAAGCACAATGTCAAAGCTTATCGTTAGACCACATCTAAGGGTAATAAATTGGTTCCAATCCATTTTGTACCATATCTCATTAAGATTTAAATCCCAATGACATACATAGGGTGCTCTGGCAGGTCGTGTAACTTGACTAGTTGCATGAACCTTCATTTCAGTTTCAGGTTTAGGGTGAAAAGGGTTTAGTCCAGAAGAAAGACCTATTGCCACGAATTCAATGCCAGTCGTATTTTGCTGAAGAAAATTAATCTTGTTAAATGCATAACTACGATCGCTGTCAATGTTATAGAATACCTGCAAATATCAAATAATTTTAACCAATACTGGCCACATTTTCAAACAGAAAATCAATAAATTACCTCAATCCAAACATTTGGAGGTGGACATGAAAAAACGATCGGCATCCTTCTTTGTGGAAGAGTTGGGGCTCGAAACCACACACCTACATCAGGTCTGTACTGGTTGCCTCTGACTACACATAAAGTGTTGCTACTTGCCCACCATTGATTTTGGCTTTCGAACGAATTTTCGAGTCTTGTATGAATTCTCTCCTTTTCTCCACCATCACACTGAAATGATACAAAAATTAATGAGAGTATGAGAGATATTTAAGCAATAGTGAAACTTACTTTGATGAATAGATTATCTCCGATTATTTCAGCATTGAAGGCATTATGGATATCTTCACATACTTTAAGGTCGCCAAGTTCTCCAGCAGGAAAATTGATCTTTATAATGCCTGAATATTCTCCTTCCAGCTTTTGTTCGATTTTAGCGTGGATCTTTGTAAATAAAAGCTCATTAACCATAAATATTTCGTTCCATTGTTTTTAAGTACCATAATATCATTATATACCTCGTCAAATTTTGATTGCGTAGAAATTGAACCATTCATAGATACATTTTCGTTTTTTTTGTAATTCTGAATATTGGAAATAATTATAACTTTGATCTGCTAGTTTTGCACAACGTTACAAAAATACCTGAATGCGGAAAGAGCCTTTAGATTCCATATTAGTAAGGGTTGCCATATTGAAAGAGTGTATTACAAGGCTTTTCAGAATCCGGATAACGAGATAACCAAAGCAGGCAATCAAGGCAATCAAGAAATAAACAGGAAAGAACTGAAAAGGCTTAGATTATTGTTATTTGTTCAATCCGAGGAAGAATTCATCCAGAAAATGCATACCACAATAATAACAATAATAGTAATAATTGCAAAAATGATTTCCGCTACAATAATAGTAATAATCGCAGAAATGATTATTGGAATGCTGGCTACAACAATTATGAAACGATAAATGTAAGACATCAAAATTCTGATTTTCAGGTACATTCTACATTCTTATTATTAATCAAATCATGTAAAAGTTAATTATTAATCAAATTATTAAAAGTTACATCAGAAGTTTTTATTAATCAAATAATTAATCAGATTTTGGTTTTTATTATTATTATTAAACGTAATTATATACTATTATCGATTGATATTATTACCAAAGCATGAATCATTGTAGATCATGCAAAACATTTATCCAAATGAAACGATTCTTGAAAATTTTTCTTAAAGGCCTATCTACAATTTAGATATTAAGTTATATACTGTATATTATGATTATAGGTCGAAAATTTTAAATGCTTGATTAACGAAACCCTTAATTTTTTGAATCCTTTCAGGAATAACTATTTCTGGTTTTTCATCATACCATACCTCAAGTAGGAAAATTCCGTTATCTTGACATATACATCTTTTTTTCCGATCACGATTTACAATATCCTCGAGTTTTTTAACATCTTTATACCAGCTGGTATGATGGAGCCGATGTTGTGCCCCTTGCACTTCCAGTGCGATTCGATGGCGTTGGAAGAAAGCATCAAGTTCTAATCCCTCCATAAAAGATGGACGGTATTCAACTACAGGTTCTTCTCCAAGTAATACTTGAGCTATTAGGATACATTTTCCCTGGAATTTACGATTTTTCTTAGACTCTAGTTCTTTTTTAAATTCATCTAAATCCTGTTTTAACTTTATATTCTCAGTTTCAACTTCTTCTTTGTCATATTTTAACTTCGTATTCTCGGTTTTGATTTCAATATTCTCATTTTTTAATTCATCTATTCCCTTTTCTAATTTTATATATTCAGAGTAGAATTTATCGTGAATTCTCTCCCTATCAATAATAAGAAAGCTGAGATTGAATTGCAATTTCTTTACCAATTTATTGATCTCTTTATCTTCGAATAATCTGGATTCAAGAACTCGTTCAAAAACCATTTCTTCTTCAGGAAATATTTTTACCTCATTCCAAAGATTTTCAAATCGTTGCCACACCAATTCTGGTAAATTAATTTTGGGTTGTGTATTTGCCATTGTTTGTGAAGAATCAGAGTTTATCCAAGGATCAAGGCCGGTTTCTTCCTTATAACGTTTATATAACTTAGGATGAATCTCATCTGTCAAAATGCTTGGCAAATCAGTTAATTGAGCTTGCCACTCCAAATATTCAGGAGTTAATGTTTTATGAGTTTTTGATTCTGTGCTTTGTTCTTCCATATTAACGTTTTACATAATCGTAAATCAATTCAAATTAGGTATTAACTTTTTCGTAGCATAATCACGTATCGATTGTGGAAAAAAAATTCACGCACTTTTGCCAAGAAAAAATCTCGATCATATGTGAAATAGTTAACATCAATATCAATACAACATAATAAACCCCGAAATTCTCGATCATATGCAGTGTAGATCATATGTTATATCGGAATAAATTCGATTGACTAAAATACATTACACAAAAAATAACGCATGATACATTGTACGTTCCTCTAACCAAAAATCTTTATTAATAGCAGAGCTAGTGTCTTTGACACAGGCACGTGAGTGCCCTTATTCCATAAGTAAATATACGATAAAAAATACATATAAAAAAATTCGTTTCAAGAAAAATTCCCGGGACCTAATTCCAATTGTTCGGTCTCGGAAATGCCAAGAAAAATTATTTCGGAAAAATTATTGATTATACATATACATTACACAAAAAATAACACATGATATGTTTGTATGTTCCTCTAACTGAAAAACTTTATTAATAAAATATATATGATAAAAAATACAGGATAAAAATACAGGATAAAAATACACGATAAAAATCTATGGATAATCATCTCGTGGTGTAGTAACTGTTGTACTCCCTTCCTTTAATCTTTGAGATGATGTCACTGTACCATGATACAACAAAGATAGGTTAGTAATTATTAAATTACGTAAAAGTAATAAAGTTTCTATAAATTCATATACAACCCTTCCATTTGAAAATTGTACTGGGATTTCAACAGACTGGAGATGGTAATATCGATGCACATTTCTTATATCTCGAACAAGTAAATTTAAATGTAACTCATTACCTGCAATTTGTACACCAACAATATCAAATTGATCCTTATCTGGTTTAAGAGTCTGACGCACCCAAAAAAGCCCATCATTGCATTCTCTCCATAACTTAATATCATCATTGATCTTTTTTTTGAACAGTACAAATTAAGCGGGAACATTTAACATACATAAGTTCAAAAATTGTTTCCCGATATTTTGCCACAAACATGATATCTGGACATCTCCCCATAAATCCATCCCCTTTTCTGTTAGCACTGGCAACACTTTGTTTTTCCAATGTACTAATGAAAAAAGAATCACCAATAGGAAGATTTTTTAACAAAGCTCGAATTGCTGGTAATATGATAGTTGATTGGTATGTTCTCTCACTTAATGTTTTTGCAAATTCAGAACTGAAAGCGGAATTGTTTCAAATATCTTTTAAAACACCAAGAATTTCTTTAGTTACATTTGCGATACTTTCTTCAGACTCTTTCCAAGTTCCATCGTGAACTAATTTAGTATATATCGGTCCATCTTCAAGTTTATTAAAATCTGTTACAAACTCGTTACATATTTCTTGAATAATAGTAAAGGGTTTAGGTGTCATTTTGCGAGTAAGTTTCTAGGACAAGTTTCGGAGAAATAATAATTATACCATTAGTAGGCTCAAAGAGCCATTGCTTTGCAATAAATGAAGCGCATCAATTTATAACTGCTTTGTGGTTATGAACAAGTTCTAGTTTACAAGACAAAAAATTTACCATAAATCCCTTTTTTAAATTTCTAGACAGTTGATTCACAAGCTCTGATTCGTCACTAATAACCTGGCTAGCCAAGGGATTCTTCCAATCCAACTTCGTAATATCCATATTAGATACACTAGAATACAAATGACAATATAAAGGACTTGAATCTCTTCTGAGTTTTCCTTTTAATTCATTTATATTATTGTCGATTTGTTCTAAACTAAGGGGTTTCTCTTTATTCGTCTTAATAATACCAAGATCATATAAAGTGAATACTCCTTCAAAAGCATCTTCAAACTAAAAAATAAAGCACTAGTTTCAGTAATATAATTATTTTGCGATCGCGAATCAGATACATCATTAAATAATGCTTTATATTATCAGTACATATGCAAAGTTATTATTTTTGTGCGGCCGACACGTCAATAAAACTCTGTGTGGTATCAATTTACTACATAATAATATAACTTCATTATTCTTCATGCAGGCGATAAATTTTTCTCGTCAATAGGTTAGTAGGATAAATTACATTACTGCATAACAGTCTATAGCTTAAATATCCCTCCACTGTCGAGCAAGTGTTTATCGTGAGATGGTTAATAGAATAATCAAGTCATTTTTCGGTATTTTATATCAGCTTATGTTGAAATATTTTGAATGATAAACCACATAGTATCATCATATAACTTTAAATAATTACGGAGCAAAAATATAATAACAAACCTGTGAAAGGACCTT